AAAAAAAAAAAAAAAAGTTTACTTTTGCTCATTGTACGGCTCCGTAATTATTTTACCGATAAAATCACTCTTTGGTTTTTATATATATAAAGGGGAACCAGCGGAGTTAGTCGACTGCCCTTGTCACAAAATTTCAAGTAGATATCTGAAGAATTCATCAAACCCAGATGGAATTTTCGATTTTTCAGTACCAAAATCATGAATTTTCGTTTGAATCATCGTTTAACTCCCCGGAATCTTTGTCCTGGGACGAGATTCTATTCCAACATAGTTCTCTGCCTTTCAAATTTGATGATATGGAGGAAATGCTCCTCCTTGATGTGGTGGTGGAAGGAGGTAAGGAATCCTCGGAATCAAACTCCAATGACGGTGCGGTGAGGGAGGAGGAGGTGAGTAGCCTGAAGAATCCCAAGGAGGAAAAATCATACAGAGGGGTGAGGAAGAGGCCGTGGGGGAAGTTTGCGGCGGAGATAAGGGATTCGACAAGGAACGGCGTGAGGGTGTGGCTGGGGACATTCGACAGTGCGGAGGAAGCAGCACTGGCTTATGATCAGGCGGCATTTTCCATGAGAGGGTCGATGGCCACTCTGAATTTTCCGGTGGAGGTGGTCCGGGAATCGCTGCAGAACATCAAGTACAGGTGTGAGGATGGGTGCTCGCCGGTGGTGGCGCTGAAGCGTAGACACTCGATTAGGAAGCGGTCGACGAACAAGAGGGGGAAACAGAGTGTGGTGGGCCGGCAAAACATGGTGGTGCTGGAGGATTTAGGAGAAGAGTATTTGGAGCAGCTCCTCAGCTCATGTGAAAGTACTTCTTAGATTCTACAAAAAAATAAAAAGGAAAAAGAAAGTACTTCTTAGATTTATATATATATATATATATATTTTTTTTTTTTTCAAAGGGAATATAATTTCTTCTTTATTAATAAAAGGAAAAGGAAAGAATTTTCGCATTTAATTACATAAAAATCTTTTTCTTTCATTTCCTTTCTCTTTATTTTCTGTCAATCTAAATATATGTCTCTTAATTTTTTTTGGTAATATTTATGTCTCTTTATCTGATACTTATCTCTTATAACTTATATTTTCATCGATCTAAAAACGCATCTCCTCATCTGACACCTAAATCTTTTTTTTTTTTTATTTTACAAAATCATCTTTTAATTCTTGGACTTGACCGAATCATGAGAAAATATTAGCTTTAGAGATTTTTTCCGCAAGGTTTGTCTCTTTACTAGCCTTTAATCAATAGTTAATTAGACAAAAAATCCTTTCATGTCCTTTCTTCTTATTTCTATCAAGGACTCCTTATCTGACACCTGTTTCATTATTAAAGTTTTTTTGTTTTATGTGTTTTTTTTAAACATTTTAATCTGGGTTCAAAACCGACTTAAAAAAAAAAAAAGTACACTTGCTAAATGACTAATAGCATTGGGTTTGTAAGATCAGATGC